TATATATATAGTTAGTTGCTCTCTCTTGTCTCTCTTCTGTTTGAGAGACTCTTTCAGAACACAGAACCACTAAGTGGATGAACAGCACATAACGTGTTGATGTTTCCCCCTGACAGTTCAGAAATCACCAACAGAGACCCTCTCTCCCCACGCTCACGTGTGATTTCAGAGAACAGGATTGAATAAAAAGGTGTGTATAAAAAAAGGTCAGCTGCTCTGATTCAAGCTACTAAAATCTGCAACAGGAGCTGCAGATTAACTCTTAACCCTTTTTATGTTGCAGATCAAAATATGTCCAAGTACATMTTTTAAGGGTTTTAAATTTGAAAATAATCTGACTCTTATTCTGATTATACGTATCTGCACTGCTGAATACTTTCAGCCAGTCTCTGAGCCAATAAAGTTTGTATTTATCTCCTCCTCCATATGTATAAAGAGTAAAGAGCTTGCATGCCTAAAAAAAGAATAAAAATAAAATTAAAAACACCCATTTGTTCTAATCATGCTAACTTTTGTAGATACAAAATAACAGTTACGTGATATAAAAACAAGCATAGAAAAACTTTCTTCTAATCACTGTGAAAATAATCTTTACCTACATTTTAATGCATCCAAAGGGTTAATGTTCCTGACTGAATGGGGGAGGAGGTGTGTCTACTTGTTTTTGCTGCCTGGTGGGGACAATATTTGACCATTTTCACAGCACACACAGCCTGGTGAGGACCCACTGTTACTTATGGGGACAAAAGCCACAACGCAGAGTGAATAAAGCTTAGGCCGGTTTAGGGTCAGATAGGCTTTAGAAAATAATGGTAAATGAATGAAAGTCAATGCAAAGTTCCCATGAGGATAGAAAAACAAACGTGTGTGTTTGCCGGACAGTGAGGAGACGGAGCGAGCAGAGCGCTGCGGGGAGGAGGAAAGTAGCCGAGTTTTTATCATGAGTTGCGACTGCAGCAGCTCCTGTTTTCTGGGTGTTTTGTTAGAACACAGATGGTGCATTTAAGTGTCCCGTTATTTTTGGGATCTACATGTAAAGTCTGTCGCTTTCTCCCTCGGAGGCACAGAGATGGGGGAGTTTCAGTCCCCCTCCTTCTCTTTCTCTATCTCTGCCTCTGTAAGTCTTCTGAATGGACAGGTGGTCAGGTTTTTATGGTACAAGTTGTAATCTAATGCAGAGATTCTTAAACTATGGGCTGCGGCCCAGTTGTGGGCCGCGAGCGCCACCTTGAGTGCCTCAGATGAACAACAGTTTTTAACTTTGGGCCACAGAGGGCCGTGGGACCTCATTGATTTTGAATAAGGTGCAATACACTTTCTCACCACTA